TACAGAGAAACCCTGTCTCAAAAAACCAAAAAAAAAAAATACTATTGTAAAGAAAAAGAATTAAAGCAATGCTATAAAGGATCATAACACTAAAAAGTATTAAGCAAGCACTTATAGATGAGAAGCAATTTGCTTATTAATGGGTTGGTTTGTTTGGCAATGACTCGAATGCTGTCATTTGATTTCTCTGTTCATTAAATGAGGAAGGTGGGCTATAAAATCTGCCCCTTTCTCTGGGTCACTTACTTCCCACAGTGGCGGGGGGGCAGAGAGTAACTAAAGCAATCTCGCCACTAAGCCAGCAAATGCATAGTGAGCCAGGAAAGGCTGTGGGGATAAGTGGTCTCCTAGGGAGATAGTTGAGAAGAGACCTAAAGGAAGCTATGAAACCTGGGGGAAGGCAAGGAGAGATGCGAAGGTCCCGAGTAACAGACCTAGTTGTATCCACAGGGGCCTGAGTGGTTAGCACCGGCTTTGAGTGGTGAGTGATAGGAGGTGAGGCCAGGAGCAGCTTTTAGGAAGATGGTAGACACAGCAAATCAGATAGAACACTATAAGGACATCCGCTTCGATCCCTGAGTGAAATGCAAAGTCAGAGCATTCTCAATAGAGAAGTAGCATTGGGTCGGTCCCTTGAGATGCTTTACCTTATGATTTTTTTGGTGTAATAATAGTATTATTATCATGCATCTTCCGTAGGAACCATGTATCACACTTAGAGTTCTGCCTTTCTTCTTGTTCTCATGGTGCCGGACAGGGCAGCAAACTGTGTCTCTTGGTCAGCCATGTGATCCAGAGAGAAACCAGGGACACTGGCAGGATACTGTACTGTTCTCTGTGGAGTGGGACCCCAAAGCGCTCTCTGCTGTTCTCTGTGGGGTCAGTAGTTAAGAGTGTATTCTAATCATTTTTCTTTGCTTTCCCTTTATTTTGTGTGTGTGTGTGTGTGTGTATGTGTGTGTGTGTGTGTGTGTGTGGTGTATGCATGCGGTATATACACATATACGTGTCCACTCAGAATCTAGAGTTGCATTACATTTACTATATTACATTTATATACTACAATATTTACTATATTACAATTATATTACCTTTACTATATTCTATTTGCCTTATTCCCTTGACACAAGGTCTTTCACTAAGTCTGAATTTTCCTGTATCTACTGCCCACCTACACCCCCACATCAGGGGTGTGACAAGCACATGTGACCAGACCCAACATTTCCATAGGAGTTGGGTACTCAGGTACTCATGCTTGCACTATAAACACATTTACACACTGAGTAATCTCCCCAATCCTCAGTGCAGTGTGTGTGTGTGTGTGTGTGTCTGTGCATACCCTACATACATGATTCACACATGAATGACAGGTGTGTGTGACCATGAATGCCCATGCAAAGGCCAGAGAAGGACACCAGGTGTCTTCTACCACTCTCTACCTTAATGCCTTTAGACCAGTGGTTCTCAACCTGTGGGTCTCGACCCCACTGGGGTTGTCATATCAGATGCTCTACACATCAGATACTTACATTATGATTCATAACCGTAGCTATGAAGTAGCAACAAAATAATTTTATAGCTGGGAGTCAGCACAATGTGAGGAACTGTATTAAAGAGTCTCCGCATTAGGAAGGTTGAGAACCACTGCTCTAGATCACTGAATCAGAAAACCACTGCTTTGAGTAGAGATTCACTCACCTGTCTCTGCTCCTAGTGCGGGGATTACTGGGGATGTCTGGCTCTTTGTGTACTGCTGGGGATTCAAACTCGGGTCCTCATATCTTCAGAGCAAACACTTACACTGAACCGTCTCTTCAGGACACCAAAGCAGTTTTTACTCATGCTAGGCTTACATAAGTTTATACTTATTACTTATTTGCTTGTGCCAAGCTTATGGGGATATAGGCCTGTTCCAGTTCGTGAACATCTGTACTGTAACCTGTTTTTCAGAAGGAAACTAGGAGGACAAAGACACGTGCACTCCGAGAAGTGGAGAGACGCAAGCAGGGTCCGATCCAAGATGGAGTATGAGGAAGCACTGAGAAGTAACTGAAGTCGTTATTTGCTGAACGTGAAACAAGTAGAGTTATTAGACAAGCAGTTTTAAAGACAGAGACAACGATAACTTCGAAGCGTTACCTGGGAACTGTAAAAGAGGCATTCATTCCTATGGATTGGGGTGGAGAATATTACAAGAGAAATAGATTTGGAATATAAATGAGAAGTTTGACTTTGGAAAAACATCAGGCTAGCATCCTGGGCTTTTCAAATCAGAATCACTAGCTACTTGCAAGTATTTAAATTTCATTTCAATGAATTAGCTCTAAATCACTCAATTCACTTGCACACACATTTTTTTATTAATTTTTATTTAAATTAAAAACAATCTTATTTTACATACCAATCCCAGTTCCCTCTCCCTCCCATTCTCCCATTCCCCCCACCAACCCTCCATTCCATCCCTCATCCACAACTGCACTCTCATTTCAAGTATGTGGTATCTACCCACATGCGGTTAGTGCCTGCCATCGTGAACATTCCTGCCATCACCATCACAGAACATTCGATTGGGCAACACAGGTGGGCCCTTAAACCTTGACCATTATCCCAGACCCTGAGCTGGTTGCTGTATACATGGTGTGTCTTAATATTTAAGAATGTGCCAAGAGTCAGGCAGGGTGTAACTAGGATTCACTGGCATTAAGTAATAAGCCTTAAGCTACACAAGATTGCTAAGGGGGAATGAAAAGGGCTGCATTCCAGGACCATCTGCCTTTGAAGTTCAAGCATTTACATCAGCAAGCCATAGTTAGAAATGCTCGACCAGTGTGGAGTAAGATACCGCTTACACAATTACTGTCAATGAAACTTCAAGGTAGCAAAGAAACCAGATCTGATGGGCCTGGGGTAAAAGCACATCTCCCAAGAGGCTCAACGTGTTCTTGTACTAAGCCTAATAGAGTGGGAATCCAATAATTTAAAAGAAGCAACAAGCACCAACGAGGCTCCTGGTTTTCAGTTTCCTATTTGATGGAGAAGCAGAACAGGTGTGCCATAAAGTTAAGATGTATTTGGTCTCCCTGGGATCTTCAGCTTGGTATATGAAACTCTAGTGGGCATTTTAAAGCCTATGGAGGGATTGGGACACATTGGTAGGCGCCTTGGGCATTTTGTAGCTGTAACTTTGAGCTGCTAAGAGTCCTGCAGTATTTGCCACAATCTAAAACAAAGTTCCTTCACCCAAAATGCTAGCTGTTCTGCCATGTAAGAAATATTGTCCTGGGGTGACACTACAGCTGTGAACATGAATACAGGTGCTGAAACATGGCAGTTCGTAGCAGTCTGTGTGAGATCAACCCAGTCCTGACTGTTCGACTTGCACTCTCTTGCAAAGCTGGGGAACATGGTCTGGGCTCTGCACCTCTCTTTGAACAACACTGAATTCTAATTCACACACCTCAGTCAAGCTACATCTGGGAATCACAAACACATTAAGTACTTAGCCCAGTGTTTGGGTCAGAGAGAATGACAAATGTCCACAGAAAACAGAATGCGGGGCAGGCATGGAGCCCCCCAGAGATGATTAAACCATTCAAAGTATTGTCCAATCAAAATCAAACGCATATGAGCTGGGTGTGGTAGCACATCGCAATCCCAGTGTTCAGGATGAGGCAGAATTGCAGGCTCCCCAGTGAGATCCTATCTCATCCATGCCAAGAAAAATCATTGAGGTAAACTACTTTTCATACCTTTGAAATCCTGTTATGGGTGGCTCAACTCAGACTTGTTACAGTTCTAGTGCCCACTAGGCAATTCTGGCTCATAGCTACAGCCTGGCCAACATGTCTGTTTTTGAGCCAGGGTCTGTATGTAGCCCAGGCTAACATGAAACTCACAGTCCAGCTGCTTAAGCACTGGCATGGCAGTCTGGCTAGGTAATTCTGAGATGTCTGTCCATGGAAGGTGGTTACAGAAAAGTCTGAGTTCCCTTAGGGACTTTAGACTCCGTCAGCACATGACAGGAAGAGGCTGTGCTGAGAAATGACCAAATACATTAAGTGGACATGGCAAAGTGAGTTTTGCAACCCAGCTCACTTCCTGTGTCCTTGAACAAATTAGCTAGTCAAACACCCATTCCCTTATTTGCAGAATGCAGATAACAGTGTCAAGCCCTCTGATTTTGTTCTGGGGAATGTGTACACAAAGATCTGTCCCTATAACCTGTTTCTCAAACATGGATTGTGGGTATTTGTATTTGAGACTGAGAAATGCAAGAGTTTCTCTAAAACTCAAATCTTCACACAATAAATTATGTACTTCAGAATAGAAATGCAGACAGAAGGACCTGAGAAATGTAGAGCTTTTTTACAACTTCTGACGATGAGCACATCCTATTCTAAAGCTGGCCATGGCTTTGCATTTGTCCAGTGTTCAGATTTTCTCAAGTTAGAAAAGTTCTCAGTAGCTGGCGGGTCCTCAGTACAATAAACGAATGTTCCATTGCAGTTTATGACTCTTATAACCACACCATTTAAAAAGTGTGAGCTTGGACCTTCCTTTGTAAGGTTTACGGAGCGATCTTTCAATAAGAATAGTCTCAATTTGTTGAGTTGACACAAAGCGCAAACAAGCTCAAATGATTGGGCATGTGTTCACCGCAAAAGTAGCTGGCCAAGCCTACAAATTGCTAGGATTTATCAGTCATAAGGGACCTAGAATACCTCAAAGCTTTTCGATTCCTAATTACTACAATGTATTGTCAGTTTCCACTACCTTGAAGAACACACACATCATGATTTAGCACAAACACGTTTATTTAGTAACCAAAGGAACTAATCATAGGTAAATCAACACTTTGACATGGGTTTCATGTAAAGTGTTGGAGATAAAGATAACTGAAAAACAGTCGTGAAAAATAAAACTGAAGAAAAGAAGCTCTGTGGATATTTATGACCTGCTCATTGAACTGAGCGGATTCACTCTTACAGCTTCTTCTTGTCTAGTGTGTCGACGAAATCCTCACTCCACCTTTTCATAGACCCGAGTACAGGTCACATTGTTCATGACACAATCCTAAGAGAAAGATACAAAGTCAGGCTGGTTGTACATTCTAGAGCACGGGTGACAATAACACTTTACAGCCAGATTCCTGTAAAATCTTGTCACAGACCTTGCTGATGGAGAAAATGTATTTTAGGATTTCCAGACGTGAGAAGAGCTGTTTTGTTTACATACACATTTGCTATCCTGAAGACTAAAGCACTGGATATGATCTCTAAATTACTCAGTTGGTTTTGGCAAATATCCCTTACTTTAAATAAATGGGAAATATGTATGTATGCAAGATGCTGCTTGGTAGCCTGCCAAGCTCTCGGTGGTGCAGCAGGAAGAAACTGTTCCAGCCACACTCTGGGAATCACATCACTCCTCTGTCCACCCAAGGACTGCCGGGAATCACATCACTCCTCTGTCCACCCAAGGACTGCCTTGTTATTGTGAATATTTTCTAGAACAGTTACAGAGACTGTGACCGCAAACCCAAACCCCAGGGCGACGCAATTCGTTTGGCACGTACCACCACCAGCTTCCCATCCTTGATTCTCCTTGTTATGGTGCTTTCCTTCCCATCCCAGTTCTGGTGCTGAACCAGAGCACCATCCTTGAAGGTGCAGACCGTCTGCAGAAACACGGGGTACGCGTTAATCTTCCAAAGCACAGGAGCTCCCACGACCCTCCCCCACCCCGCCATGTGAAACACGGGGTACACGTTAATCTTCCAAAGCACAGGAGCTCCCACGACCCTCCCCCACCCCGCAGTGTGAAACACGGGGTACGCATTAATCTTCCAAAGCACAGGGGTTCCCACGACCCTCCCCTACCCCGCCGTGTCTTCATCTTTTCCTTTGTGGGTCTACCTCAGCCACCATACTGATTTTATTCACAATATAACCACGTGCTTTTCAATCTAGAAACTCCTTCGAAGATGTTTCCATGTTACAGTCCTGGGACTTTTACTAATTTATCAAAATTCAACTTGAGAAAATAATTTTTATAGTTCGCTCTTAGCAACAAGATGTTATCAATGCAAGCTAACCTGTCATTCTAGAAGCTTCCCTCATTTCGTAATATGTAATAGCTGACCTGAGTTTTTCTGCCGTCGGCTGTAGTTTCATCAAACTTCTCCCCCAGGGTACAAGAAAACTGCGTCGTCTTCAAAGTGCTCTCAGTTTTAACGGTGATATTGTTGCCGTCACAAGTAATGATGCAGTCTGGTTTGGCCATGGCACCCATTTTCCGAAGAGCTAGTCCTACTCCTGTGTAACAGGAGACAACAAAAGGACCAGTTACAATTTATACAACAGAAGCAATGACTTAGTCGTGATCATTTCTTCTGCCTGGTCTATTCTCACGTACTCACTGACATGCACACATCCAGCGTGTTGCAACACAACGCATGTAAGCCTCCTGGTCATCCTGAGCTTGGGGGTGGGGTGGCGATGTCTCGGATGGACTAAAGAGAGCTGGACAAGCACCTTTAGCCCCAATTGACAGAACTGACACCACGCTCTAAAGCTCTGCTCTTAGGCTCTGAGCTGTGCGTCCTCAGAAAGCCAAACTCCTTAACCTTAACTAAAACTGCTGACAGAGGCCCAGGCACGGTGACACACACATGGAATTCCAGCACTTAGGAGGTGGAGGCAGGAGGAGAGAGAGTTCCAGTTAGTCTAAGCCACAACACACGGCAGGGCCCTGGTAAACAGTCAACAGATGCACAGAAAAGAAAAAACAACCCTAAGGGACAGTACAGTTCATAACACAGCTGTGATGTTAATAAGTGGGGGGGGGGGAGCGGGAAAGAGCAAGCATAGCTGAGTAACAGTGTACTTTCCATGGTAGGGCTCTTCCTGTGTATTAGGAACCTGCCAGTGCTATCTAAAGACATGTACTATTGGTCTATGTGGTTGATTTTTATTTCGTGTAGTCTGTTTATTTACAGAAGTTACACAGGTATGAAACCCCACATTACTAAGTTATGCATTAGCTTGTAATATATGTATGTGTCCTTGGTGACGATGACCCAAGTAGAATGACTTACGATGTTCCCGGATCCTTCCATTGTGCTTGCCCTGCCCGGAGTCTATGGGTCAGGCCTGATAACCTTCCTAACTCCAGAATCCCAGAACAGCCACTCAAGCCTAAGCACCCAGATGCTTTCAAACAGTGCTCTCTACTGGCCCTCGCTCACATCTGTGCACCTTCACAAACCCCCCCCCCCGGAAGTCTTGGCTGAGGCCGCCAAATGGCACTTTCCAGACTCATTCTCATTTAGTCTTCCACTGGGTAAAAGAAAAAAAGACAAAAGCCTGCGTTCACAATATTATAAAAACACAAGCAGGATCCATCAGGAGCCAGGCTTAACACCACAGTGTGCTGGATATTGACTAAAAGAGAATGAAGGCTTCTGAGGTGGACAGGGAGCTGTCAGCCCAGTGTCACTGGGATACTAGGGACAGCAGCTTGTACAGCTGCCTCCTGGTGCCGGCAGTACCTTTCTGGGGAGAATGGAGAGAATCCCTACTCGGCTAACCCATCCCACTTCCTGGCATCTTTGACAAAGGTTCGTTTTGTTTGTCTGCTCTGTGTGTCTACATGTCATCGCTCTCTTAAGAGTAGGCCAATGTGGCAACAGAAAACTTAGCACTATTTCCAGTGAGAGTGAACTTGAATCTTGCTCGCTCTCTGGTTAGGTTTTAGGCGGCAAGTGGCTGCTGCAAGACCACACCCATCGTGAAGCAGGCCAGCAGTTTCTGATTACCGTTTTCCAGCCAACCGCATGGTCTCCTTGCTCCTCACCCTCCAGGCTCAGGGGACAGAACAGAATAGTCACAAGGCTACAACCACGCCCAATGGGCTTCTCCGTGGTGAGCCCATAGGCCACCAGCTGCCCACTGCTGTCTCGAGAATGAGCAGCCCGGTCCAGCCCCGCGGGAGCCACGCCTAGCCAGGGGCGAGGAGAGGACCTGGGAGATGCTGCAGAGAAAGGGTTCTGAGCAGCATCCTCATTCTAAAGGGCTTCTGCACAAACCACGCCCTACCACACGGTGTCCCCACGGACATAGGGGAAGGGGACTCGCGCCATCGAGGAACAAAAGATGCGGCAGGGTGGGGAAGGGGATTGGGTGTTGCCACGATGAGGGCGGGTGGTGGGGCAGGACGGTGGCACCAGGTGAGGATAACGAAAAGGGAACGCTGAGGGGCTGCCTGTAGGGGGTCCACAGCAGGACGGCCGGCGCGCGCCCCTGCAGGGCCGGAAACAGTGAGGAGCTGCCTCGTGGGCGAGAAGCGGGGCAGTTGACCCTGTCCGGAGTCGAGCGGCGAAGGTGCGCACTCCATCCTAACGGCCGCATGGTGCTCCCGGCAGCTCCCCGACCGCGTGGTGGAAGGGAACCGACTCAACCCCGTGGGGGATGCCCGCACGCGGATGAGGACCCAGGGATTCGGCGGTATATCCTCACCTAGCTCCTTCATGTATTCCTCAAAGCCTTGGCTCTCGGTCAGGCGCCACTTCCCCTCGAGGTCCTTAATGCTGGCCATGGCGTGCGGGAGGGCGGGCAAGCTCGAAAGCAGCAGCTAGGAGACGCGGTGGCGGGGGCGCTGTGCGGCTCTGGGCGCCACCACGGCTTATATCGCCATGGTGTGGGGAGGTGTCGGACAGCCAATAGGAGGTGCGCCTCGCCCGGGCCCCGCCCCTCGCCACGCCCCGATCCCGTACGCCCGGGGCCGTGCTGGGGGTCTGAGGTGCCACCCAGCCTGCGCCCGCCCGACTGGGAGGCTACGCATCTCCCGCAGCTCCTGCAAGCTGCGACTCGCCTGGCCCGCCCTGCCCCTCCCCCAGTGACAGCTCCGGCACAGTCCCGCACGTCCGCGCGCCCAGGAACCCACTCCGCCACCCGGGGTCAACCTGGACCCCTCGGGCCTGCGCACCAGGGTCCCACCGCCCCTGCCGCCCGTTTGCTTTTTGCCAAATACCCGAGAGGAATTGTTTAGCCAACGCCTGACGCTATGGGCATCGATTGGCTGATTGATGACTTAATTGATAAAACTGCAGTCTCCTTAACCTTGACAAACCTGCATCCTACGCCCTCCAAAAGAACCTGCTGGCCCCACCCTCCGCCTCCGGGGGCCTCACCAGGGCCTCCTCCTGGGTTGTCTGCCTGAGGTGCCTGAGACCATCTTAGCAGCTTCTGTGTGAGATTAGAATGACTCTGGAAATTGGGTTTCTCCACCCAACTGTAGCAAGTTTCAGCTTAGGTGACTGCCATTGCCACTGAAGAATCTTACTAGTTTCTATGCCCCTAGAAGGGATCAAAACTATCACTTCCCAAGGTTGTCTGGTGAGGCTATGAATTAGTAAATTGTCTCGAATACTTTGATGTATAAAAAATCATTTTGATATGCATAGAAGTCCCACAAAATATGAGTCTCCAAGGAGAGTCAGGTGATAGATGGCCTCCTGAGCTCCAGGACTAAGAGACAGTGAGAAGAGGCAGTGTATGGTGAAGAAAGGTTATGGAGAGCCTGAATTGAACAGGGTCTCTCATAGCCTAGGCTAACCTCAAACTTCCGGTGTAGCCAAAAGGAACCTTGAGTCAAAAGGCCATCCATCCTCAGCTACCAAGTGCTGGAATTTCAGGCATGTGCAACACACCTTGCTAAAGCTGTCATTACATAGAGAATGTCAAGAATAAAATATACATATCATCAATGAACACAGGTACTGATTTTCACTTTCAGTGAAGAATTTAATAATTCAGTTACCTGTGCTAGTCTATGCTTTGCTATGGCGCAGGCTTGTATTAGATAATTTTGCCCAACTAGGAGCTAATATGAATGTCCTGAGTCTATTTGAGGGCAGCTGAGCCACGCTTTTTACCAGGTTGGGTATATACAGTAACTCCAAATGAATTTACTCACAGATAAGCCCCTCTAAGTTGAGGTGCATCTGTGCTTCGGTAAGGCTGACTTCCCATCTGAGGAAACGACTCCGGAGTAAAGCTGTTGCTTCAGATCCCCAGCACTCACGTAAAAGCTGGGTGCACGTGTCTGCGACCCCAGCACTGAGGGCTTGGAGACGGCAGATCACTGGCATTCACTGGTACAGCCAGTCCAGCCATCTGTCAAGCTTGAGGTTCAGTGAGAGATCCTGTCATTTAAAAGGCAAGGCAGAGACTAAATGATGAAGGCAGCTGGCGTCAGCCTCTGGCTTCTTCATAAGTGTGTACATATGCAGGTGTGTACATGTACACACATGACAATTTATAGTTACAAATTTCTTTGACTGAAGAACATCTTCTCAAAGCTATTTGAGACCCTTCAGATGCTCAGACTAGCTCAAAATATGCCAGACACATACGAGGGTGCCATGTTTTCATCTACTAAGGTTATATATTGCTGTGATATGTCCTGAGCGCCAACATTCCACTCTGACTGAGCCCCTCAGGTCACTTCTTGCCCTGGTAATATTCTCTGTGTGTGGATCTTTTCAGAGTGTCATTTTCACAGAATCTTACTGGCTGCTCCCACGCCTCACTGGAGGCCATATGGAGAAACGAAAACGTTGCCACACAGACCAGCTGTTGCCATGGAGACAGTGTCAGTTTATTGTCTACTATGCCCTACAAGCTCTTTCCTGGCATCTACACCCCTGAATTCTAAGGTCATTCACTGATTGCGGAGGAGGGTTACCCCAGTTTGGGGGAAGAGGAAACGAGGTGAGCTGCTGTGGAGTAGTAGAACCTGCTTGGAGGACTTTCTCACGAAAGTCTTGTGAAACAAGACCACACCTGCCTGTCTTTTGTTCATGGTGCTTGTGAGGGAGGTGAGGGCAGAGGCCACAGCCACTCTGCCAAGACACTAATTATTGTATCATCCCTCACACAATTAAAATCTGAGTCGCATCTAGCAAGCTGCAAGAAATTCCCTGCCCTGCATCCCCTTATTACAAGTTCCTACTCCAGCACTGGGTTGGAACCCCAGTGTTCCCACAGTACTATTTACCAGTGACTATTTACCATGTTACTGTCCCAGTAAGGGCCAAGAGTCCATTGCTCAGAAAGCAATGATGTTCTGGAGGACACTAAGCACATCACTGACTCCTGAGGAAAGTGCTCCTGCTTCTGGATTGGTAGTCTGGCATGCCAGCTCCACTATGTCTAGATTCCAGCTCACCAAGTACTGTCTTGACATGTTTTCCCCAGTGTTGGGTCCAACACTGGATCCAAGAGTCAGCATTAATGTATTAATTTTTGCTGTGATGAGTAGAACTAATCCTTTTGTAGTTAAATACATCTTAGAGAGGCATGAAGCTGAAATACCCATTAGTGTCTGATGCAACCAGCAAGGTCTTGTTCATGGCAGCAGCATCAGGGTACCACAGTCAACACCTCACTCTTGGATGCCTCACTTGAGCATCCAAAGATTAAACTATACGCATATATAAACTATATGTATATGTATATAGTTCATCTGAGATTTTTGCATCACTTGTTTTTATCTATAAATTCTTTATCAATCTCTGTGACTTTTTATAATAGCAAAACGTGATAGCACACTGTGGGAAATTTAGGAAACGCAGAGAAGCATAAAGAAAATAAGGATTATTCTATAAGCCTACCACTTAGATAATTACTCAGAGAAATCTGGTATTTCTTCCCAGTACTTTGCCAGGTGTGTGTGTGTGTGTGTGTGTGTGTGTGTTCATGATGTGTCCTGTGCATTTGTCCATTTGCATATGTTGTGTGAATATGTGTACACGAAACCACACTGTAATCTTAACATTGGCGCACTTTTATGTCCTGGGTTTCCTGATTTCGCACATCATTCCCACATTGCAAATATTATCTGTGACTGTTTGCAGAACCTGAACACATGGTTTGGGAGTACAGCTACCATCTCACTACGTGGTTGCTGTTGGTGTTCTTTTCCACGTACATACTGAATAATCTGTGTCCAGTTCCAGGTCTGACTTTGAAATAGCTGCCATCTACTAGCCTGTGGGTATGTTCAGGTTCCCACACATCCCTGGCCCACAGAGTTCACCCTCAACCTACAGGGCCATCTTGAGTGTGAGTGGGTTAGTAATTTCAAAGTATAATCAACCTTGATCTCTTAGGAATAGCTGGTGCTGTCTGGGCTGGTGACTTTGACAACGTGCACACTTCCTTCTAGAATCAGCCGAAGTTAATGATCACATTTGAAGAGATCACCAAGAAATCCATGTCGAAGGCCTTAGACTCTTATTTTGCCCAAACAGGGAATGATAAAAATTCAATTCTGAACTTCTAGCTGTCTTCTCTGAAAAACACAGTACCTGGGTTACTGGGAATACTCAGTCATTCTCCAAAACAGCCCTGGAAAAAGGACCATTCTATGGTCGGAAATAAATGAGGCGTTGAGAATTCCAGGCAGCTTTTCCTCTAGTCACCTGAGAACAGATAAGGCAAAAGCTGAGTTACCTTTGTCTCTGAGCCCCAGTTTAGGAAGTACTCTGGCCCTGAACAAAGATGCTGGAAGTCACTCTATTTCCACCTAGTGGTGGTAGTGAAATATTTCTCCTGGGCTCTATTTGATTAACACTGGTGGCCTGTTGTGTTCACATCCCACAGACAAGGGTGTGACACCTTGGAACAAAGTGTGTGATTTCATTTACAGACACCCCAGTTGCTACTAATGTTGGCAGATGCACCTTCCCCAAGTTCATTATTTTATACAGTCGTTACTAAGGGCAGTATGTATCAGTTGCTACTAATGTAGGCAGATGCACCTTCCACAAGTTCATTATTCTATACAGTCGTTACTAAGGGCAGTATGTATCAGTGGCCTAGCACATGCAGCAGATGGGTAAGAAAGAGAGAGTACCACGTTAAAGAAATATGGCACAAAATACCACAGTAATTCATGTTTAATTAATTTATATACAGAAGACAGTCTTCTCTACACTTAGAGAAGTGCTTGGCAAGATACATTTTAAAAAAGCAGAAGGACTACGTATAAAGTGGGTTGTATAAAGCAACTCTTCTCTAGTTTTAGTGTCTGGACCGGGCTACGTTTGTTAGACTGCTGTTCAGATCCAGTCAATCTAGAGCCAGGCCTGGGATGATTGACACCTACTAATTCCTCACTGTTAGATCCCCTGCTCCAAGGATTATCCTCCAAGCAGCAAAGTTGTAAAAGATGCCCGAATCCATACACATGACCTTGTCACAAAGGGACAATGGCCACTTCAGTTAAGTAGTTTTATTATACTCCTATAAGATGGCTTCTGATTATATCCTTATGTGAAAATATGATCAGCTCTATTTGTGCATCCCACATACAAATGTTTGACCGCTTGTAAGCAAAAAAAAATATATTTGAAGAAAGTATTCAACTTATAGAGATTTTTTTCTTGTCACTATTCCCTAAATAATACAGGATAATTCTTGGGGCTTTTTATATACTTTATTTTAGTTATAACAACATAGTTTACTTGTTAAATAATACTGTAACAGAAGGATTTGATTAATTTTAGATAGAAAAATGGGGGATTTTCAGGCTACAAAATCCTTCCCCAAAACCAAATTTTAAAAATCGCCTATTCTAAGTGAGTTAACATGTATTCAGGACTAGTTGGTAACAGCTCTTTC